TCCCTACCTCCTGATTTAAGAAATATCACTTCCTTCTCTCTCTTTAAGTCCCAACTCAAAACTCACTTGTTCAAAATAGCTTATCCCACATAACCTCTCCACTCTGCTATTTTAAATTTGTTTTATGTCTTGTGCTTTTATGATTGTGTAAACTGCTTGCTTTTATTGTTCTGCTGTGTACAGTGTCCTTGAGTGTTCTGAAAGGCGCTTTCAAATAAAATGTATTATTATTATTATTATTATTATTATTACGACACCGGTTAAATTGGTCTTAACCATATTTAAATATTTTTGTACTTTTTCTGTACTTCTCCTCCTAAATAATTCGTCCGAAACTGAATCTACTAGCCTGTACACCCACTACTGTATTTATTTTATTTTTAATTTGGGGAAAACGACAAAAACAACAAAGGAAAAACTGTAAATTTAAAAAAAAAAGAAGCTGTAAAATAAAAAGCACTAGGACCCACACTTAGTTATTATAGATGAAAGTAACCCTTAAAAAAGAAGCAGGGTATAGGTAAATCGTTTCAACGCACAAACATGTTAAAGCTAAATGCTAACATCACAGCCACGGTCATTTTACTTTACGAGCAGTTAGCAAGCGAGAACTGCACTCACCTGTTAGCGCCTGAAACCTAAAGACGGAAAAGCCAAATTTAACGTTAGTTAATCATGTAAAATAACTTGGAAATGTAACACCCTCTCTATCATTACTCAGGTGGATTTGTTTGGTTCCTGTTCTCTTCCTTGTTTGTGTTTTACTGGTTGACAAACTCGGCACACTGCCACCTATAGGCTCGGATGTCACAAACACGCACCTTTTATTTTGAAAAATGCAAACCCCGGAAGTTTCCTGGCGAGGCTGACGCTTCAGAAGCACATTGAGATAAGTTGTCAGTCAAACAGACACCAACCGCCTGACATCAAAAGCTTTCAGTCTGTTTATGGTTATTTCGGGTAGTATGTTTTAGCAGGACGAGCCGGGCCGCTTTGCGTTACTGCTCTGCTTGATTTTAGGCCGCGGGAGGATATGGTGGTTTCTAATCTCACACATCCCAGTAAAGGAAGGAAACACTTGCACTGCAAATCTGCAGAGCTCAGCTAGCCAATCTTATATTTAACTGCTCTGTGTTTTTTAAATTGGCTTTTTGGAAATGAGAGCCTCGTTGGTCTTCCTTCATATCGTCTCATGCTGCTGGCTGGTCAGTGCCACACTTTCAAAAACCGATGCAAAGAAGTCGCACAAAGCTGAAGCTGAGGTGAGTAACTTCAGGTCTTAATCTTTAAACTGGTTCGAGCTGTTCTGTGCTGTCAGGTCAAACAGGTCTGAATGCGTTTGCCTAAAATGTCCTTGGTCTCCTGTCTCCGTCCTGTCGTGGTTATCTCTTACTGAAACGGGCTCTTTTCTCTTTGATCTCACTTGTTTAGACATCTCCAGCAGAATTATCTGTACTGCAGAGAAACCTTGTTGTGTCAGACCCGCACTGGAAAGACATAGCGAAGGAGGAAAAGAGATACTGTGCACACATCAAGAAAACGTTTCAAGGACCAGTGCTTGGATATGTGACACCCGTAAGTCTGAAATCCAGTCACAATTATATCTCCTTGTTCTCCTGCTGAATTTAAACGTTTGACAATAGTGTGTAAGTGATGAGACAGACCATGGCCATGTGGACTCCAGTGAGTAGATTTATCAGTTGATAGATAATGAATCATTAACTGGTTTGATAATCACATTCTAATTTCTTAATCTTTATTAGCTGTCACCAAAAAATCTATCCAATCCCCCCTCATCTATGACACTGGTAACACTTTAATTTAATATGCTTATGGTCATGTAAGAAAATTAAAAACCTGCCCTTTAAGGGTTTCATATGTACGTTTTAGCACAGTCAAAGACACAACTTATTTTTCTCATCCTGCAGTGGAATTCCCACGGCTATGACGTTGCCAAGATGTTTGGGTCCAAGCTAACTTCGGTGTCACCGGTGTGGCTTCAGCTGCGCAGACGAGGACCTGAAACCTTTGACGTTACGGGACTCCACGATCACGATCCAGGCAGATGATCCACTTTTTCCCTTAACTTTATCACTGATTAAAGCCTCACCTTAAGTCACGGATGAACATGAGGTAAAAGAGCGTCTTTTGATCTTTTCAGGCTGGGTCAAAGCTGTACGCAAGTCTAACAAAAAAGTCAGGATTGGTGAGTGAATGCCAACTTTACTGCCCACAGGTACTCAAGTCTGATTTTGTGGATTCAGATTAGTTCATTTTCTTTTTTAACCATCAGTGCCTCGGCTCTTATTTGATGGCTGGTCCTACCAGGACTACATGGCAGTATTTGGAAGTGAGGATGAAATTGACGAGTTGGGAACCGAGCTGGTGGATGTTGCAAAAGTAAACAAGTAGCGTTTGTGTCTTTAATTCCAATAAAACCTTGTTTTTGGTTTATTCGGTGACTGATTAACGTAAAAACCGTGGTTTTGCAGACTGAAGGTTTCGATGGCTTCACCTTGGAGTTGTGGAGTCAGCTGGGAGGTAACAAAAGAAAGTGAGTGATTCTGTTGCAAGCCCCGATCACAAGTTTTGCTTTGTCTGAGGTTAATCAATAATCAAGCATTTCTGATCTACCCACACAGGGAACTGGTCCATTTGGTGAAACACATATGCGAGACTTTGAAAGCTAAAAGATTAGACTGCATTCTTGTTATTCCACCAGCAGTAACAAGGTGAATTCATTTATTTTGCATTCAGCAGCTATAAATGCTAAAAAAAACCAAACAAACAAACAACAACAACAAAAACAATCAGTGTGATTAGTTTAGATTTGTTTTTCCTGTGAATTATCAGCACAGGGCAGCCGGGTATGTTTGGCAGGGAGGAGTTTGAGCAGTTGGCCCCAGTCGTCGATGGATTCAGTCTCATGACATATGACTATTCCAGTGGTGCCAGGTGAGTACATGGGCACAGGTGATGCAACAAGAGGATTCAAACTGGCGTTAATCCAGTTTTCTGAGTTGTGTGCTGTTGTTGTTATAGGCCGGGCCCTAGCTCTCCGCTGCCCTGGGTCAGAGACTGTGTCCTCCAGCTTGCACCAAACTCTCAGTGGAGGGAGAAGATTCTGCTTGGACTCAATCTGTACGGCCTTGATTTTGCAAGCCAGGGAACAGAGCCAGTCCTGGGAACAAGGTGAGCTGAAACTCTAGCTATTGCTGCAATACTTTAACCTCCTAAGACCCGAACTCTTCCACGGCATGCATTTTTAATTTCTCTTTGATATTTGGGCTGATCTGAAAAAGTCTTTTCCTGCTTTTTCACACATTTTCAGTCCAGTCCTGACCATTTCCATTACAGTTTTTTTGTTAAACCACTTAACCCTGATCTATAAATCACTCAGCATAAAAAAGGTACCTAACTCGAAGGACGCACTAGTGTTGTGTCTGCACATAGTAGATGACTTGGCAAAGAACCAGTTTTGGAGTTTCAGACACAAAATCATATTTTTGCAATAAAAAGGTGATTCTCAAAGAGTAAACATAGCATACCTCGACAAGGTGTGCAGCATCCTTAAACATTTACTGCATAGCATTCAGACTGTGTTGACTTTCAAGCTCATTAGAATTGTAGAAACTCTGGTAATTCCACGTATGTTTGCATGGATTAAAAAAAAAAAAAAAAAAAAAAATTGGTTCCCTTTCTTTTAGCAAAATTAAAAGAATTACAGGGTGGCTCAGGACTTTTTCACAGTACTAAACGTAATTTTCTGACTGCAAGTAGCATGAGCTTTTTATTTATAGTAAAAAATGGCGAGAAGTTGGAGTAAAGAGTCGATTGAGAACTTTGATATGGACTTGAAGCCTCTTACCGCACTCGTCTGTGGTTTCCTGCAGGTACATCGAGATCTTGCGAGAACACAGGCCAAAGGTTCTCTGGGATGAATACTCTGCAGAGCATTACTTCACTTACAAGAGGTATTAATTTAATAAAACATCAGGGTTTAAACAATATTTCGAGGTTATTTAAATGTCCCAAGAGCTTTTCTTGATTAAATATCCTGTCCTTTGCCTTTTATTTTAGGAACAATGCAGTTAAGCATGTGGTGTACTACCCTTCACTGAAGGTAAAACTGTTCACTTCTGCAATTAAAAGAATAGTAGGAGTATTAATCATCAATGAGTGATTAATATTATTTCAACTGTTTTACAGTCAATCGACCTGAGGATTTCTTTAGCTGCTGAACTGGGAACAGGAATTTCCTTGTGGGAATTGGGACAAGGACTGGATTATTTCTATGATCTGCTATAAGAGTTGGACTTGTTGGCAAACACTGTGAATCTCGGATTGACACAATATATATATATATTTTTTGTCATTGAAGTCAGTGCCGTTTTGTTTTTTTTCCTATCTCGACATCTGCAGTGAGCCACTGACGGGGTTTAATTAACGCTCAACTTGTTTGAGGGTCGTGAATGTATCGAGCTCTTGAATGACACGGCGGTTTATTTTTAGGCATCTGCAACCAACAAAAAAAGGTACTTCAGTGTATTTTATTTCTTTTCTGTGATGATACGATTTAAAAAAGAAAGAAAAAAAGTACAGATTAGTACATCTCTGCATTCAACAAAAGAAGCTGCATGATTATCAGTATGTATCCATTTTAATTAAGGGTTTATTTATATTTGGAGGCCTTCAGACATCTGCAGCATCGCTTCAGTCCAACGCCTAAAATCATCTGTGCTCTTAAAAAGATTCATCCATCAGCAACAATACATCTGCTCCTGATGCTTTATTTTTTATTATGTTTGAATCGACACAATCCTGTTGCTTTTACTCGGTTTATAATAACAGCATCAACAAATAACCAAGTGGTATGTTGCAGTTTTGCCAAACATCTCTTTCTGACCCAGCATTTTTCTGATACTTGTTCAAAATAAATGTTTAATTACATGAATATAAAAGTGGGACGACAAAGCTGTCGAATCGGAGCATTCCTCGTGTATTATTTCAGGTTTTTATTTGGCATTACAGAGCAGGATTAGATTATTTACAGCGAGCAAGGTTGACTGCATGTTCTGTCCAGTTATGAGGTGCCTGTCTACGACCACATGCATGGCATCTTCTTGACTTGCTGCAAAAAAAACCCCACAGAGACGAACATCAGACTGTTTTAGAAATTATTATTTGGTATTTGACTCTTCTGTTATTAGCAGGGTAAGCTCACCTGTGTACGATCCACCGCTGTCTTTCACGAAGTCTTCTACAATCAAGGGCAGGTTGGCAAAATCAGGTTCCCGCACCAGTTCAAACACTGAAGGCTTTTAAGATCAACAAGTTGGTGTTACTAAATACAGCAAACATGTGATAGCTGAACAAATATATGGGTTATATTTCCCCTAGTGAGTTCACCAAACACTAACCCCTGTTAAGCTGTAGCCACTGAAAATCCACCTCTGTCCTTCAGTGGCACAACACAGTGCAGACACTCCCTGTCCCACTGCACACACCGGCTCTGCACAGAGGGGAAAAAAACCAAGCAAACCACATGTACATGTGTTCCTAAAAAAACAACAAGAAAAATACATACAGATGTTAAAACAAGCCCCAAGCTCACTTTGTTGAGAGATGAAGTGCGCGAGAATGCGGTGCAGAGAGCCGCTGTGTGCCAGGTCATTCAGCGCTCCAGGGCAGTGTGGGATGAGCAGTGCCTGGTATCGGGCACCTTAAAAGGGGTCATCGTGACACAAGTGAGCAGATAGTAGTTAAAGCAGCAGACATGAAAACGGCCGAATGGGCATGAAATAAATATTCTCACCATCTATGGATTCAAGTTTGGCTGGTGTTGCGTAGGGTTTCACACTGAAGTCCTGCACCCATCTAGCTGTGCTTTCATCAACCCCAACAAAGTCTATTGGCTTCCCCTGCAACCACAGAAACACTTCTGTACAGGGTAACATCACACACCCAGGGTAATGATCACAAAGTGGACAAGAACTATTTCCAAGAACTGGGTTGCATCTTAAAGCGCATGTCCGTGACCTTTCAGATGTAGTAGTAGGGTGAAAGCAGGGTATAAAAGACAACTTTTTTTTCGGGTGTGTAAGTCCATCTCTACAAACATGGATCTAATAATGTATCTTTGTTGCGATAATATTGAAATTCTTGAAACTGGTGGTTGATAAATATTTTAAACTCAGGGTTCTGATCATTTTACCTGCCCTACCAGGATGAGCTACCAGTAGGAGAAAAAAAATGGATTTTGCGATTGGCAATGTAGCTGCAATTTTATAACAAACTTGGATTTCAGGAAAAAACACTTTTTTTTTTTTTTAGTAACACCCATATATTTGTATAAATGTGATGCTACTGTTGCACAGGAACAATGGGTGTCACAGTGAAACGAGGTACTTGTTTGTCCTGGAGTTTCTTTTTCTTCTTTCATTCATCACCCTTGATTATACCGCTGGTCTTTTTTTTTCTTTTTTTTAAATCCTACAAGATACATCACTTTCTAATTTTAGCAACACTCCACTGACTAGAAGCACCACTCTGTGGTCCTTTTGGTAACTATCTATTCTACATGCACCTATTTCAAAGTTATTTGAATGAACTTTAATTTCAGTACTCACCAGGACATAAAAACCGCATACAAGGAATCACCACAAAAGTTTAGTGATAAAGAGATTGCTGAATTTCCCCAAAATAAGGTACCCCCCCAAAGAAAATATCGTGGAATTTTTTTTTCTTTACCACCATATTTAAAAACAAACAAACGAAAAGAAAAAGTGAAAAAAAGAAAAAGAAAAGACGTGTTTATTTATTTATTTAAATTTCTCCTTTGATTTTTTTTTTTTTTTTAAATCTGCGCAGTTGTCATGGAGACTGTGTCTCGGACTAACGCGCTTAGGTCACGACAGCTGTTCGTGTATCTGCTATTTGCTTGTCAGGTGGAGTCTTACCCCTGGTGTGGCTGTCTGTAGGTTAAAGACCGGACTACAAAGGCTGAAGGACTGATGGAAAGATTTCGCAGACACCCCTGAATAAACAAAATGTGTGAGATAAAACGCTTTAGAGAGCTCATGCTAGTTCTGCAGCGCTAAGTAAGTCAAAGCTAACGGACAAATTTATGAATGATTGAGAACAGCCGAGCTGTTCAAAGTAAAGCTAACGGGCTCACCTTGAGAAGAAGCACTCGCCACTATCAAACACGTTGGTTTCGCTGACATTTTAATAATATTTGCTTTAAATTATAAAGAAAAACCTTGAGGGTGAGACGATGCAAAAGAAATACGCGAGGAGGGTGTACAGTCAGCTGACAACAACATCCGCTTATAAGTTTCAAAATAAAAGTTCAGTCGGAGAAATTATCTGAGAATTTGGGTGGAAATTATAAGGAAGTATCTTTTATTTGCATCCAACGAAGAAAAATAGTTCTTTATATTAGTTTTTTAAATATACATTTGTAATGACTATACATAAAAAAAGCAATTAAAAAGACAAACAGAGAAGCGGCCACAACATGCTCATATTGCTCTGCTTTTTAAATACACACCACTCATTTTAAAGAGTTAAAAATCCTTTGTGACCTAAATTAAAGAATACATAAACACATGCAAAGCTGTTTTTGCGAGAACAAATGAGCAGTGCTGTCCAGCAGCATCGCAGTGTTTGAAGTAACTATGCAGCATCGTAGGACTGTGGGGAAAAAAATACTTTTTTGGGGTGGTGGGGTTATAATAATTTGGAAAACATTTTAGAAGTTGTGTTAAATTTTGTGATGTTTAAAAAAACTACAGTGATCCCTACAAGGGTGTCACAGTGGTGTGGTGGTTAGCATTATCATAGCAATAAGATTCTGGGTGCAAATCCAGCCTGGGGCCTTTCTGTGTGGAGTTTGCATGTTCTCTGCAGGTACTCCAACTTCCACCGACAGTGTGCACAAGGTTGGGTTAATTGGTGATTCTAAATTCTGTTGGTGTGAATGGTTGTCTGTCCTCATGTATTAGCCCTGTGACAGATTGGTGACCTGTCCAATGGTGTACCCTCCCTCTCGCCATATGACTGCTAGGATAAGCTCCAGCACCCATCCCCACGGTCATGAATTGGACAATTGGAAGAAAATGAATAGATGGATGGGGAGGGGGGGAAGTACAAAATTAGTATGGATCTTCTTTCAAATTCCGGTAAAGGCAGCATGTAAACATCATCCCCAGAAGCTGAAACAAAACAGACACAAAGACCTCATTATTTCCAGACTCCATTAAAATAGATGTTCATATTTATCTCTGTTTTGCTCAGCAGTAAAAGCTTTCACCTGTAGAAATGCAATCCCTATACCAACTGCACCGAGAATATATAACTGACTCAAGAGGAATTCCTCTAACTTCATGATGCAGCCTCCCTGGGAGCACAAGAACAGGGGAGAAAAAAAAGAATAAATAATAATATCTTGTTATCATGTGAAATTTAGCCATGCTGCGTCGATGGAGAGCTTTCTCGTTTTTACCTCCACTCTGTAGATGTTGGAGGGATGGTCCCTGCGGCCACAGAGTTCACCTGGAGTTTTACAGCAGCTATCGGGAACAAGACGCTCGTTCTCTGCTGCCTGGATCCACACACTGTCGCTCCAGTCTGAGAAGTTGTGGCTACCACAACACTTAAACTGAGAGGGAAAATAATGAGAAAATTGCAGTTAACACAGAATTTCATTATTAATCATGTCCAGTCTTACTGATGTTACTCATTTTTTATTCGAGCCTTTTTCTGAAACAAATTCTCCTTTTCCACACCTCCTGATGTAGTTTGTCCACAGCCTGTGTGATGCTCTCCTCTCCTGGCTGCTGGTATTTCTGCTGCATGGTCACTTTCAGGTTCTGTTTGAGCTCTTCATCCAGCTGTGAGACAGGAGAAGCTCTTTAGTACCTCCCATCAACAAAAATAGCTCCTGATCAAGTTTCCTCCTTCCCCCGTAACATTCCTGTCTACCTGAGCAATACCCACAGATAACTCAAAATATATGAGCACAGATTCTATGACCTCACTCCCTGATTCTAATGAAGACTCTTGCAAATAAAAATAACCTCAACCTGTCAGAACTAAAAAAGACTGATATAAAGGAGAAACACACTGCAGTAGATTACCTGGTAGCAGAAAGGGAAACACTAGAGCAAGAAAAAAGGGGGAAGAAAGAGAGGCGTGAGAAGGATGGGGGAAAAATGGACAAATGAACATGCATGTAAAACACACTTCACAAAGGAGTGCAGCAACTGAGTGGTTGTTAGATTTGACATTAAAATGATGCAAAGCTAGGAGAAATACTTGAAAGGAAAGTAGAATTAATAAAATACACATAATGCAAGCAGAAAGACAAAAAAAAGACATTTGTAATTTCTGGGGTGAAATTTAAATGATGAATAGATATAACCATAAAAAGTACTGGAAGCTGTGCAAGTTATAGCAAAATAAACTGTATGTCACTATTTACTTTTGTCTCTATATACAAACAGATACAAATAGAAAGTATGGCACCTCACCTCTTGGTAGTTAATGTATGCCAGAACACCAGCAATGATTTCCAGAAGGAAAATACAGAGCAACAAGATCAGATACTGTAGGCAGAGACATAACAAAAATGACTATGAATACAGTGAAATGCCATTATTTTGCACCATTTTGCAGGTTATAATGTCACTGAACATATCTGTGCATGGCTACAAAATACAAACATCATACTCCAGAAAATAAGTGATTAAATGGTGGGAAAGGAAGGTGCTCATTATAAAGATTGCGGGGAGTATGACCATAGAGATATACCACTGAGTCTGAGTGATATCCTCACAGACCCTCTGTCTGTCTGTCTGTCTGTCTGTCTCACTCACACACACTCTTAAGTCCAAGCAGCAGCTTGTGATGCCCTTCATTCCTCTGGCATGAGCCACACTCTATATCTAAACTCTTAAAGACACACTGTGCATGACTTTATCTGTTATATCTGACAGGCATGCCTGGCATAATGAGCTGCACTGAGTGCAGGCAGACGAGACAGAAGGTCACCAAGGATTAGCTTTCAATACACAACCTGGACCAGGGGGTGAGAGTGTATAAACATGGACTTAAAAGTGCCATGGTTTCTCATGTGAACTAATGAAAAAAGGATTTCAGCTTCTGTGGAGTGAAGTGAAACGGCCAAGAAAAATCAGTTTTTCTGTAACAGGTAGTATTTTGTGGGCGTGGTCACCGTACCACAATCAAAAGACTCTTCATCTCGTTCAGCGTGGCACAGCAGCCGATTATCCCGGTCACTATCACGATGACTCCAGCAGCTATCAGGATGTACGCCGAAGTTGCATAGAAGCTGGAGCTCAGCAAACTGATGTAGTCGCTCTTTTCCACCAGAGTCCACACGCCCACCGCCAACACAGCCCCACCTGCCAGCTGACAGAACATACCGTTACCAGCTCAACTCAAACCAGATGCTCGTAGTGAGAATGCAGCACATAAGTTATAACTTTGCTCTTAAAATGTGATCACACTGGACAACGCCTCATTCTTTCAGTGTAAGCCCTGAGAGACTAGAACATCAGTCTATTCTTAAAGCCTAAAGGAAATTGCAGTTAATAAAGTAAAAATAAGTAAATAAAAAAGTTTGTATGGTTTTTTTTCGTTTTTTTTTTTAAATGTGTCTGTGTACAAAGGAAGTCATCTTAATGTCTATGGCATTTTAAGCACTGCACAAATTTAATGTTGCAACTTTAAATCAATTACAACTGACTGAATTAAGATGACATCGTTCAAAAGTTGCTTTTGTAATCTAAAATTCAGTGAAAATCTTTGCACTTTTATATTAACCTACCCAGAAAAGAACATTGAAAAGAAAAAGAAGATACTTCAGACAAATCGTCCCGCAGGCGTGCTTTTTTTCACGTCGAACTTCCATTCTGTTAAAAAAGGGGAATTATTGATGTTAGCAGTGTTCAAGCTGATACAGTAAAGAAACAACCAAATATTCGATGGCACATCTCAGTCTCCCCCTAAAGGGATTACTACAAGATACTGAGAGCAAAACTGCAGGCTATACCCCCCCCCACTCCAAGATTTACACAGATTTCTGTTCCTATCCTTTATAATGGAAAGCTGTATTAGTGTCATATGTGATGTAGTTATACATGCAGTTTATTTGTATATCAGTTTCCTCTTTCAGTTCTGCCTTTGCCGTGGGTTGCAGAACAATTGGGCTTTTTGTGACAGCTATTGTTGAGATTGTACCTTAGTCTTTGTGCAGTAGCTCAAGGTGCTATAAGAGTGCAATGGAAAAGAGCTCAGAGATGAAATCAAATATGTTGTGGGGAAAACATACTTAACGTCCTGTGTCACATATCATCCAGCAGACACACATCCGTTCCCCGTTTCAGTAACATAATCTGATCGTCTCATTCTTCAGTGATTTTGTGTTAGCTTTTCACTCTTTACTTCAGGCTCAAGTCAAATGTTGTTATTCTTGCCTAAACAGAACTTTCCTGGTGCTTCTATTTTGAGAGAAGTCATGATCCTGAGCATCATGGGAAATGTTTTTCTTTTCTGTTTTTTATATTTTAAACACAAATGAACATCTTTGTTTACAAACATAAATAAAGAACAGTTAAAAAGATAACACGTATAAACCTGATTAAAATATACTTTTAAGACAATCTTAATGTGTAAGTACGACTGAAAACAATATCACCGTGGTCATATTCAGAGTTATTTTTAACTCATTATGTCATGGAAAAACTGCTCTGTTTTCACACAGACCAAAATACTCCTACCTGGTTTAGATGGTGGACCTCCCAAAGGATGTAGATTATCAGGGTAACGTCTTCTCAGAGTCCGCCGACCTCAGCGTCCAACTGTCTTTGAAGGTTGAGCGCAACAGTGTAAGTTCTCAGCTGACAGTCACACTCGAGCCTCCCACTCAAGGGTCTGAGCGTCTGTCCTCTTTTGGCACAACAGGCTGCTCGCCCCTCTGCAAGCTGTACTTGTCTGCCCCCAGCTGGTTTCCCATGCATACGAGCTCTACTTGCTTTAAAGCATGCAGCTTAAAGGTTTAACTGATTTTTTTTAAGACACATGACAAAAGAGCAGTCATCAAAAATAGATTTTATTAGACATTTCTGAAAGATGCATAAACCCAAAGGAAAACATTATTCTATTCAGTAAACTTGTTCACAGAAAAATGCCTGATGTGACGTCACGACGTGGTGATCTGCTGTTGGTGTGGGATACAACGTGGCTCCACTGAACCAAAGAAGAACACCTGGAGGCAGTTTCAGTCTTTTCAAAAGCCTGTCCTCAACTGTTCATGCACAGCAACTTCTTTTAGGCATGGTTTCAGTCAGTAGAAGTGCATCTTCACACTGGCGTTCATGCTGAGTTACCAACATCCTAAAATGTACAGAAACCGCAACATACCGCAACATATGAGAAGAAAAATCTGTGATCTTACATTTAAAAGTCACAAATGGGCAAAGCTACAACAGAAAAGTACAGAAGGATTATCTGTAATATTATATAAATGCTCCAGAGGATTTTCATAATGTGATTCTGTAAATTACAAATATGTGATGCCATACCCTGCCAGGTGATTCATTAGTTCCTCCACGTTCAATCCATTCCTGGCACTGCACTCATAAAACAAAGCTTGATGTTGCTGTATAACCAAAAATAATAGACTTTTCTTTTTATACATTTGTGGCTTTCCAATTTTAGAAATTTGGGTGAATAGTCTAATGCGCCTCACCTCTGCCAGTTTTTGACCCTCTTCTGTTCTCACTTCTCTACGCTGATTGTCAGCCAAGTCCAGCTTGTTCCCCAGCAGCATTAGTACAGCACCTTCACACATCTTCTCCTGAGACAAACATACAGCGGGTTTATAGTACACGCTATACATAAAGGAGATACACCAAAGAGGTTACCCTAATAATATATATAAAAACTGAGCAGCTCCTTCAGTGGGAGACTGCGGCACCCACGGTGTGGGACGGAGAGATTTCGCAGGTCTTTCCTCCCCACTGCTGTCAGACTCCACAACAAAGACTTTTGCAGCTGATCAAACCCTCACACGTGCAATAAGACTGCTATATGTGCAATTCTAAATGCTATATGTGCAATTCTTATACAATTCTTCTTCTGACGAAGTTGTACTTTTGTATTTTCTTACTCAGTTGTATATAGCATTTGTATTTCTATTTTATTCTATTGTATATATTATTCTATTCTATTCTATTATATTGTATATAGTATTTTATTTTATTGCATTCCAGTGTTTTTCTAATTTCTGCTACATAACTTTGCACTTTTGCTGTAACAAAACAAATTTCCCACCTGTGGGACTAATAAAGGTCATCTTATATAAAAAAGGAATCAAAGTTAGGACTGAGATTCGTGCATCGCCATTACATCAGTAACTTTCACGTATATTCAAATAAGGATCCACTGTTTTGCATGCTTTTACATCAAACCATGGTAGTGCCGCCTACTCACCCTGATGGAGTCCATCCATCCTCTCACTGCAGTGAAGGAGGCGGAGTGCGTTACATCATACATGGCAAGGATGCCGTCGGCCTTTCGGTAGTACTGCTCGGTGATGCTGCGAAACCTAAAAAACAGATTCGATGTAAAACATTCTGCACCTCGGATAATTTTGTGTGCTTGTGTAAACATGTCTGACCTCTCCTGCCCTGCAGTGTCCCACAGCTGCAGGATGATGGTGGTGGAGTCCACAGTTATAGTCTTCATCTTAAAATCTATACCTATGAACAACAAAGCCTTATGACTTCATGCTCGACTTCAATAGATATATCAAACATTTACTTCAACATACACACAGTAGTTGTCTATACACTGATGAGCACGTAGATCGCTGTGAAAAGACTTACCAACGGTAGTGCTGACTTTACTGTCGGAGCGCCCTGTGCAATAATACTGGATGAAGGAGCTCTTACCCACCCCCGAGTTACCCAGAAACACAACCTTGAACACTTGCTGAGTACTGACAGCTTTGCTCTAGAATTCAGATAAAAGAATCAAAGGTGACATTTTGATCAATCTAATATTTGAAAATGGATGGATGGATGGAATATTTGAAAAGTTTAATTTTTTTTTTTTTTGAGTGACCAGTGGTTGTTTAAGCCCTAAACCAAAAGCCTCAAAACATAATTTCCATCATTACTGCTCAGTTTTGTTGCTGCATCTGCGCTATTCAATAATTATTTCTCAGATATATTATGTGTATTTGTAGATTTTACATTTTCCCTACCTGAGTTTGGGTCTGTTCAACATTTTCACCCCTGACTCTACATGACGGTTGGTGTTTCTTGGATGATATTGTCACCTCTGTCTTTTTGTCCTGCTCCAACTCATCAGCAGAGCACGGCTGTCTTCAGAATCAATAAATACACAAAATTAGTGGCTGCCTATATCCATCTGCTACATCACTGCAAAAATGACAAACAGATGCACTATTTATACAAACCTTTTCATTGGCTTGTCCTCCAGTAAGTAGTTACCTATAACTGACCCTCTCTTCTGCAAAGCCTGTGTGACATTTGGAGTCTACAAGGTTTTTGTAGAAAGTGAGGCAGAAGAAATATGTAGCATTAAGATTTCATACTCGTCCACAGATTTATAAAGTATTAAAGATTTATGGATGTAGCATGCTGCATATCCAAGGTAAATGCGCTTTGAACCGAAGAGATCAAAGGGTTTGGTTATAACGCTCAGTGCGATGTCTGGTGAAAACCAAACACAGGATATCAGCAGAAAAGAATCATGTCAAGCCTGGTGGTGGAGCGTTTATGATTTGGGTGTTTTGTAGCCACAGACTTGGGAATATTGGTTTCATTCAAAACGACTACTTCAAGTTATTGTGCTGAACTCTACAAACTACTGAATTATGTCTATGGTGTACTTGATTTTAATCACAGGACTGCACTCATGAGTGTGTGATCTCTGTAGTAATTCCACTTGCTTCCACTGGTAAACTATTTACAGTGTACATTTAAAATGCAGGAATGCAGTCCAACTATGATTATTCATTTATTTTTAACTGTTCACTCGTGTTTGTAGATTTAAAAAAAAATACAATAGGTAAATAAAGAAAGAGGCAGTCTTTGCGTCAAGGTTGATTTTTTTTTTTTTTTAAATAAATACTCATGAGATTATTTGCACATTTTATACAAAAATGCTTCATGTTTGTTTTGTGAAACAACGAGGATGAGCTGAACCTGCTGAAAGTTGCTAAATTAGATTATCAGTCATGAAAAGTCTGAGAAAAAGTTTTATTAGATTGAAAAAAAAATACTTAGTTCACCTGAATTTGTACAGTGAAATGTGACCAATAAACATAAATATAAATAGAACATTTTCTTTTCCTTCAAGTTGACACAGGACAGAATAAACGTCTAGTCAACAAAATCCTTCAGTTCACTGAGCACATCCACAGAAAAACAACATTGCAAAAGGCTGTGTCAGCAACATTAATTAATAACCAAAAAAATAACAGCTGCCCATATAAATAATAACAGATGATGTAAAACATGAATCTATTCCAAGTTTTAGCTTAGGGTGGATCAACCTGCTGTGTCCACGGCATACAAACATCTTCACTAGGTAGGTAATATGTTAAGGGCAGAGGAGGAAGGACAGCGTGTCTGTGACTAACCCTCTTCTGAGACTGTTGGGCGTCTTTCTCATCTCGCAGCCTTTTGTTCATATCCCTGACACACACACACACACACACACACAAAAGAAATCTATTTAGAGACATCCTCACACGGTGAGACCCGTGTCTCAAATGGTGAATTAAATTTTAAAAAAGAAAAGAAAAAAAAAAGACCACGGGTAAGTTTGAATAGTGCATTTTCCTTGGGAAGCTTCCTAACTGAGAAATGTGAAGAGGAAATATCTGCACAGCATCCGCAGTAGGAGCTGTTTGAACTCTCCAAAAAATAAGGAAAGGCGCTTTGATGCTTCCTTTATTACAGGATACACCGGACCAATCTTATTAAAGGAGAGAAGATGGTGCTGTCCCAAAATCATTTCATGCCATAACCTACTGATATGTTTTGAATTTTTAAAAACAGCTTGTTAAATGCACAGGAAAGGAAACTGACATTTGATAGAGTGGGTTTCACTTTACATTAGCAATGTCCATTGCTGTATTGCCAATGTGCTTTCTGCTACAGGTCTCATTCAATGAAGTGATATTTTTCACTGACTGTTCTCATTTCTATGACCTGCATAAAACAACAAGGTGAGATGAAGATATGAGTTTTGTAGTTTATCTTATGGCGGTGTTAAGGAGTCTAGTGTAAGTGTGGCTGGATTTTTGGACTATTCAAACATACCTGTAGTCTGTGAACTTGGCATTAACTGAAACAGCAGACAGTTTTAGACTTACCTCAATATCTCCAGTTGTCTCAAAAGACTCTCTTTCTCTTTCTTCATGTTCCTTGACACCTTCATCACGTTTCTAAGTGAAGCAAACAAAAGATTTGAAATCTTTACTTGATTCAGATGTCTTAGCTAATTACTGAACTATTTCTAATCTTTTATTTAAAGAAATCTTGAAGGAGTTGTTGCAAAATGGCCAACTGATCATTTGCAAGTAGAGTTCAGCCTTCTCACCATAGCACAAAAACAGCACTAGTGAAGGTTACAAATGATGTTCCAGTGGCCTCTGACAGCAGACTCATCTCTATCCTTGTCCTGTTAGACCTCATTGCAGCATTTGATACCGCTAACCACAACATTTTACTAGAGATTAGAACACACTGCTCATCTTAAAGGGCCTTTAATACATATGGTACCTGGTAGAGATATATGTGAGATGCACTGGTTTAAATCATAGATAATCATGAAAATGGGCAATCTTTTTAAAACATGGAAGTTAGTCATGGAGCTCCACAGGGCTCTGAGCGGGAACCAATAGTTTTTAATATTATGCATGCTTCCCTTAGACAA